ATGAATTAATTTCTCAAACTTATGTTTTTCTTTTGGAAAAGAAAACTAATTAACTGAGAATGAACAATTAGATAGCGAGCAACAAAACGCGATAAATTACTCTGCAACGAGCAGAACGAAAAAAATGCGACGAACAGAACGCGACAAATTGTTCTGCGACGAAATGATTGTGACGAAATAAACGCGACGAAATGTACTAGCGCCTAAATTCCAACTAAAGTGTCGGATAGCGCGAAAAAAACTGGCTTTTATTGATACAAAAAATTCATAGACAATTTCCTTCTTTCCCATGTAAAGATTTTATCTTTAATACCACGTTCCAAGAATTGATGCATCCCTAGTTATACAAGTTATATTCTCTAGAATAAGTATTATTAAAGCATGGTTAATAATTAACCGTTCCCTCCGCAAGCGAATAAGAAATAAAGAAAGACGACCGTCTTGACTAGTCCAGAATGTTCACGATACCCGTCAGGTGTAGCCTATAACATCTTACATATCCCTCCCGACTAGTCATCCTTCGAAAAAATGTCCTTAAAACCACGTCTGACTAGTCCGGAATGTCTTAAAATCTAGTCCTGTTTAGACCGTTTTGCCCACCAACTCCGTCCACATTAGTCGAAGGATTAAAAAGAGAAGACGAAATGTTGATTCGAACATCCATCCCGGCAGAAACAGAAAAAGGACGGGTGTCCTGACGTCCGACCAGGATATTGAAATAGACTGACGTCAACTTATGTAATCTAAAGCACAGATTGACGCCCGTCTATTTACTAGAAAGTCGGAAACCTACCGATGCCAAACGACTTTGAATCGTCTGAAATGTCTTCTGCACAAACCATGGTTAAGGATTTTCTAAAGAGTGCATTTCTCGTCTACGCCTGGACTGGGTCGAAATGATGTAAACTACCTGGTTTATTTTTCCCGAATTTTTCTGTTGATTCGCTTAAAGTGATCAATCATGAAAAGGAAAAGATATTGAAACTAAGTCAAAATGATGTTTCATATCTGTATTCTTCATTTGAATATTTAAAAATTATTATATTCACTAAAGTTAAAAAAAGATCTGAAAATAATTTTGATCTTTTTATATCACGATTTCATATTGTTTTTAGCATAAGTTTAGATAGTTTCAAAGGTGCGAAAGATCGTAATTGGACCAAGCGAATTTGATGTTTAGTTCGATATGTATTCATTTTAATTTAAAAGAAGGGGAAGAATACCCTCGTGTTTCGCCTACCTTGCGGTATACTGTAAAAAGAGGTAGAATAATAAACCTTTTTTACCATATGTCAAAGTTTTCATAAACCCTTTCATATACCCTTCCGAAAGGTATATGAAAGGGTATTTGATTTTGATATATCCTTTGATATATCCTTTCAAAGGGTTTATGAAAATTTCATGTACAGTGAAAAAGGTTTAGGGAATGATCATGTACCCAAAAAGGGCTTGTGAAATCTATCCTATATCCAGAATGGGTTTAGGAAAACGTTCAGTTCGCTCATATAACTTGAGGGTGTGGGTGTGGACATTATCTTCGCAACCTTACACGCCAACCACACCCACCCACCGGCACCCGCAACTCTAAATATCGTAAAATCGGAATAAATGGTGGGCATGAGATATATAAAACGGATGGATTGTTTATCTCAAGTTCTATTCGTTAGAATAAGTAAGATGTGGGTGTGGGTGTCGTTCTTTTCATGACATCCACCAGACATCGAAACGGCGCGGGGAATCGGGGCGGGAAGACAAAAAATAATTTAGGTCGGGGTGGGACTGAGCCGAATGAAGTAAATTCTCCGGAAATTTTGTAGCTCTTGAGTTTCACATTCGAAACTCGTGTATGCACGTACATCTTTTGTAATAAATCATAAAAAATTGTGGTGAAAGATGTTATTGTGTTTCAGCGTTGAAATTATAAATGTTTTGTTACTGTAAAAGAGTTAAGGAAGTGTCGCGGAACGATTGTGACGGAGCGTAGCGGGGACGAGGAAGCAAAAACAAATAAAGAGCTGGGCGGGGTCAGGGAAGGAAAAAACTAACGATCTGGGTGGGGCAGGGCGGGGCTGGGTAGCGTGGAGAAAACTTTCGACGGCGTGGGGTGGGGAGTGAAAAATCCACCCGGTTTCGGCCTCTGACACCCACACCTCAGTTTGAACTATTTTGTAATTCATGTGTTTTATGAAGTCTAGAAAAAGAAAAAACTTGAGAGTGAAACGGTGATTTTAAAAGAGGTTGCAAATGGTTGCAAATTTGTAACATAAGATCGAGTATAGGATGACTTTTTCGATTACTATGCGAGCAGGATTTTTCAAAAACCTAACGAGGGAATCGTTCAAAGTGATTCAAAGCTTTCTGTCTCAAATTTGCTCATAAGTAAGGGATCTGTAGACGAGAAAAAGTGGAAAAGGATATGAGCCCATATTGCAATTTAGCTGAGATTAAGGAGTTTTGCTGAAATTGCTGTATCAGGCCCTGAGTTTTCAGCGAAATCATATTTCCGAGCTTTGCTTTGAGTCACGTTTCAGACCAAAACTCGGAAATATGATGTAACTGAAAAATTCAGGGTCTGATAGGGCAATTTCAGTAAAACTCCTTTATCTCAGCTAAATCGCAACATAGGTTCATATCCTTTTGGATTTTTTCTAGTCTGCAAATCCCTCACTTATGAGCAAAATATGAGACTAAAAGCATTGAATCACTTTGAACGGTTCCTTCGTAGGTTGGAACTTAAACGGAGTCGAAGTTTAAGCGAGGTGCCGAATTCGGTGTACGAAACCAGATAATATACATTAAAGCTCCACGAAAACCTAAAGGATTCGTTTGACGCCCATGTTTTTTATTGTACTGCAAGACATAGATTGGATGAGATTTTCGGTACTTACTTATCACCTTTCGCGAAGTCACTACATAACAGAAAGCACTGCGTGAAATGCATCTTCTCGGTTCATCAACATTGGAATTTCAATTGGAACAACACAATAATATTTACTAATGATAACACATTTTACTGCAGACGAGAAAAGTATGTCAATGTCCGGATGTTACTAAAGTTGTTCGTATTGTGAAGTATGCTCTAAGGTACAAACGTGGAATTATTTTAGAAACAAGGTTTTAGATAGCCTATCCCGTTGCAATGCAATCTAAATTGAGATCTTATGTGTACTATCAACGAAAATGATCTTCTTCTACAGCTCAAAATGATTTTCTAGATCATTTTATTAGTTCGACTTTACAAGAAGGCAATGATTCTTAACGCAGGTGTTATCTAATACTCAAATGGAAGAACGATTGTGAAATTCAAGTTGTAACTTGGCCCCCTGTATCATCAACTGGAACCTCAATCGAGAATGCCTGATAGATAATAAAATATCGACTAATTCGTAAGAATATTAGACAGTTTTCTAGCCCCAACTAGAGCCCTGCAGGGTGCTTCCAACCTGTCCTGCCCTGCCCTGCTCTGCCCTGTCACGGCAGGTTGGCAAAACAACAGGGCAGGACAGGGCCAGGTTACGAAATTTTTTACAGGGCAGGTTACAGGTTAGTAGTGTCTTAACCTGTTAAAGTGCTATTAATTTTTTTACTATCAATCGTTTTCGACATTTCTTTAAATATTTCGTAAAGAAGAATAATCGAAGTGTATCGAAACGACATTATGTGTTGTGCGTAAACTAATAATTGAATTAGATTGGTCGTAGAGGTATACAAATAAAATATGTCGCTAGTATATTCTCTACATATATATCTATTGAGATTTACATTTTGCTTTTTCGAGTTAACCTGTATTTTATTTTTTTTGTTATAATTACCATCATTTATTTCTAAATTATCATTATCAATATCCATTTGATTTTACTGTTTTTTGAAATATTATCAATGCCTGATGCAAAGAAAGATATCGAACGAAACAAGAAACAGGTGATGGAAAAGCGTCAAAAAGGTGAATTAATTACTACAGAAGAACCACCGTCATCATCTCACGGTGCATTTTGGGAACATTCATGGCGTATTAAAAATTTTTAAAATGAATATCAATCGTTCGTTAAATATAAACTATGTCATGAAATATTATCATATTCGATGGTAAATGGAACTTCTACTATTAGCAATCATGTGAAAAATTGTCTTAATAAGTTCAGTAAACCAAATAACAACAAAAATCTTGATGATTTTGTATCCAAAGCAGCTCAAGTGAATGTATTAGCAGAAGATAAAAGATCAATTACAGTTGCCTGCGCAAAATTTTGTTCATTTGATCTCAGGCCATGTAGTATTGTTAAAGGTGTCGGATCCTCAACATTATGCCAAAGCCTAATTAATCTTGGTTATCAACATGGTCAAGCTAAACTTGGTGCACCTTCAGTAAACTTATTATTACCTGAACCGACCAATGTTTCTCGCACTGTTTCTCAAATAGCTCAAGAATATCGTGAAAATTTGAAGAATATGCTGAAGAATGATTTACAAAATGTCAAACTTATAGGTATATCAACTGATTATTGGAAAAATTCGGGAACTAGCGAAAGCTATTTAACTGTTAATATTCATTATTCGAAAAATGAACAATTGGTCACCTACATGTTACTAGGGGTGTCGATTTATATTTATTTTCATTTAATTTACTCGTAAATAAAATTATCTATAATTTTTTAATTTAAAATAAATATGAATCATTATAATTTATATTTATAATAAATGTAAATTTTTATTATTTTTATTTATTTATAAATGTAACTTTTTTTTCTCCTTTATTTATATTTATTTTTAAATATAAATTATAACTAATTTAATTTATTCTAAATATAAATTATTTTCGATCAATTTCTATTTAAATAAATTATAAATCACATTATAACTTCCATTAAATTACTGTATTTCTTTTTGATGCTCCATCTGAGGTAAACGAGCAAAAGAAAATAAGCTGTAGAAATGCATTGAAATCTTATGAGAAAAGAAATTCGTTGAAAATGCACACGTGAAAGAGTTCCTGCATCGTATAGCTATCCCAACAAAAATAAAATGCATGCATTCAAAAGATTTATGACTAATGAACACGCTCACTTATGCGTTTTCAACGAGTTTATTTTTTTTATAAAACTGCACTGCCTTTTTACGGTTTATTTTTACTTGTGCGTCTGTCTCAAATAAAGTTTCACGGAAAAATATGATAACTTACTATAATTTATAATTTAACTTAATTTATATTTAATAAATTACAGAAAAAAATTTATTTATCTTTAAAGTAAATTAAATTTCTTATAATTTATTTTTATAAATAAATATAAATATTGGAGAAAAGCATTTAGATTTAAAAATAAATAGAAATAATAGAAATTTATAATTATAATAATTATAAATTGTGATGAGTTATATTTATTTTTAAATATAAATTATTAGAAAAATATATTTATATTTATTTTAAATTTAAATTACTGATAATTTATATTTATTTTAAATTAACAGGAAATCGACATCCCTACATGTTACGTACTTCATTATTTAATCAATCAAAAACTGGTGAAAATACCAGAAAAAAAAATTTTCCATTATTATCTAGTTATGATATTGATCCAAATCATTTTCATGTCGTATACATTAGTGATAATGGATCCAATTTAGTATGTGGTTTGCGTAAGTTCCTTATATTTACTACTTTTCTTTTTTTCATACTTTTCTTTAGAAGGAGAGGTATATCTTCGATATATTTGTCTCTGTCTTAATTTGGCTTTACACAATGGTGTTGATATGTGTCCGAGTATGGAAAATTTTATTAAATCTAGTCAAAATTTATGTACACATTTTAAAAGATGTGAGATGAATTAATATTTGACTACAAGTTTGAAGTTAAATGCTGACACACGTTGGAATTCTATTCATGATATGTTAGAATCCATCTCATTGAATTATGAAAAATGTGGAGATGCTCTAATTAACAGAAATGAAGTTAAATATTTAGACGAAATCGATCGCAAAGTAGTAGTCAGCTTTGTTAAATTCTTATCGTTATTCAAAGTAGCTAGCGAACAATTATCTGCCGATACAACACTTACTCTCCATTTAGTTGTTCCTTGGTTTACGAAGTTAAAAGCTTCATGTGAACCAACAGATGATGAACCAATATTATTAATTCAATTTAAAAATGCTGTTTCAAAAATGCTGGATGAGAAAATTTACTTAACATCATTACATTAAATAGCTACATTTCTATATCCGGTCACTAAAAAGCTTTTGGTAAGCTATTTTTTAGTATTATATGACTCTTTTTCGAAATCTTTTATGGACGTCGAGCAACAGCTTGGGAAAGAAATCTATGTTGATACTCGAAAAATACTTCGAACACTTGGCATACAAGAAGAAGATTATTCATCATCAGCTACAAAAATGAATGATGCCCTCAATAATTCAAGAAAAAAGAAGAAAAATGATTTTATCTTACAAAATGATGTAATGCAAGAATTTGCAGGGGATGTAGAGGAAGATCAAGATAGTGATGATGATTCTAATGAAATCGATCGTTATATCAAGACAAAGCTTTCTTTTTCAAAAGATGAAACTTTATTAGGATGGTGGAACAAACATTCTTTAATATTTCCACAACTTTCTCAATTGGCAAAGTCTTTAATAGTTATGCATGATGGACATTCGTCAATTGAGAAATGTTTTAGAATGAAACTAAACAATAGAATACAGAGTAAAGAGTAAAGAGTAAAGAGTAAAGAGATTCTACCATGAATGATATGTTTAAGAGTCAGTAATCTGTCTATGTTCTTTTTTGAATAGGTCCATATTTGGAGTTCCTATAAGCTAAGCAACATCGGAACGTATTTTTAGTTCTTCGGGTCGAATCTTAGAAAAAGAAGACAATCATTGAAACCCTATGTGGTTGATGATCTTTTTATGATTAGAAACTTTCGAGAAATTTAGTATTGTTTTCATTTGCTTTATATTTGAAATATATACAATGAAATAAAATTTAGGAAATGAATGTGAAACTGTCAATCGTTTTGCAACATCGAACATTAACAGGGCAGGGCAGGACAGGTTACAGGTTACTAAAAAAAAGTCTCAGGGCAGGGCACGATCAGGTAATAAAATTTTTACAGGGCAGGTTAGAGGTTACAAAAATCTTGCATCCTGCAGGCCTCTAACCCCAACAAGGAATAAAGCAAACACGGAGCGATTTTCGAGTGCCTTAGCAACCAAATTGGCTCATACAATGAAAACACATATATAATGCTTCAGTGAAGCAGATGCCGACTGTACGTTGTATATAGTAAAGTGCTATGGCAATTTTAGAACGAGAAATAATTTTGATAAAAATATTGTAATACACAAAAAACGGAAACGGAAAAGCTTTTGTGCAGAGTTTTAACTCTAGATAAAAAGTCTTACGCAAGAGAAAGATTATTTATCAATATCCTTATCAGCTATTTATGCTCGAAAAAAATTATGAAAGAGAATAAATATCTCTCGTCTAATGCATAAACAACTGATTTCACGAAAGTCAAATATAAATGGGAAAACATCTGCTCTACCTTTCTAAAGTAACTTTAGCGGAAAAGGAATATTTATAGCAGAAGGAATCTGTCTCTCTCTATATATACAGGGTATCCCAGAAGTCTGGAAGGAAAGTAAATCCATAGAACTCCGCTATTCATCAAGCTTAATCAACCAATTTTTGTCAGATGATAGATATCAGTGTGAAGCTTTTATTTGTAGAAACAAACTTCACAACTACTGTTTAAAGCTATAACTTTCGATTAGAACACCAAAATCAGTCCTTTTTCGACCCAGTCCACCGTGTTTCGTTTGAATATCTCAATTTCTTCCATTTTTTGTGACTTTTATATCGCTTACATCTTACGCTATCGTTTATATGCATTTGTTGTGATATGCCAGTGCAAAATAA